TAGTGACCACCCACAGTGTTTTTCTGTTGTGCTGCTACAAAGTCTAGACAGAAAAGGCAATTCCCCAATGTCAGTGGTGATAATTAACTTGAAAGAGGGCTTTTTAGATGGACGTGGTATTAAAAGAGTCACATGTCATGACACATTTGAACAGATGATGATTTCACTCGAGAAAAAGATGTCACTCAATGAACTGAAATTACCAGTATACAATTGTATTTTTGATTCTCATACGAATTAGATTTAGGGGGTTATACTTAAATGAACTAAAGAGAGAAAAAAGTCCGATGTATCGTATTAAAATTCCTGACCTGATAGAGAAAAACTCACTCAACATTGGGATTCTACGACCGAAATACCTTATGAAAATCATATTCACATGCCTATTATACCCCAAAGGTGTGTGAGACGTAATCGGTTTTTGGTTGAAATGAACTAAAGGGTGGAGGTGGATGGGGAGGGGGGGGGGGGGCTGCTTCCTGAAAGTCCCGATTCGGCCTTCAGTCTCTCCTAGATCTATTTCATCAGATAAGAAACGCCTAAAAACTTTATTTCTTTCCATACCTGGCATGTTTGTTACCACCATATCCTCATAAAATAAATCTTTGATTTTTTAAAATCACTCCTTTTCTCAAAATGCTATTTTTCTATATACTTTTAAAAATAACTCCACCATTTTCCATCCAATCTTCATGAAGTTTTCACAGAAGGAAGAGAAAATATATTACTAAAAAATTGTCTGTTTATTGTATGGAATAAGCTTTTGTTGGTGGTGTCTGGAGTGTGGATTTTCATGATTTTTTTGCAAACCTCCATACTACCTCAGGAAACATCGAAAATGTTCTAATTCATTTAGAAAAAATACACGACAAAAATGTGTTGGTCTGTTGTTTGTAAACATGCATGCAAAATAAATTTTAAAAATAAAATAATAATTTTTAAAAAATAATAATAATAATTTTTTTAAAATATATAAAATATATTTCCATGAGCATTAAGTGCAGTATTCATTACGTA